TATGATGAGAAAGTGAGTAATTTTCTTTTATAAATTTTAAGTAACATTTTTTTTATAGAAGCCATTAATTTTATTAAAAAGAAATATTCTTAATTACAATGAATATTTATAATCATAATAGTAAACTAAGCATATAATTAAGATATTTTCATAAAATTATTGACACAAATTAACAACTCAAGATTACATAAAGATCATACAAGGAAAGATTAAGAAACTTAACCAAAACTCGAACAATGATAGATACAAGAAGATCTAAGTACATCGACAAACAAATTGTAAAAGGGCATCAAGCTATTGAAATACTACCGATAAAATCGCAAATCAGAGTCGACCGACATGAAAAACTATCCACAAATGCAAATCAAATATCCAAATCCAATCTGAGGGTCCAAAGTAGGGAAGATTAACATGATAACAGATAAACATCATCTTGATCAATTGTGTGATTTCGAATCGACCCTTAAAAGGATAAATAAAAACAACAATCAAACGAATCAAAAGACAAAGAAAATGTCATAAAGATAACTGAAAAGTATAATAAAGGTAGACTTATTGAAAATTAAAAATAAAAAAAATAAAAATGAAATGTAAAAAATAAAATGACAATAAAAAAAACATTGTTCGATAATCAATAACAAAATTGATACCATCACCTATCAACATGAATGGCCCACCTATTATATCAGATCAAAGGAGCTCGTCGCATTAAGAAAAGTTTATTTAATTTTTTACATTTATTTAATAAACGAACGAACATGAATAAATATCTATTTATTCATTTATGTTCTTGAACAAGCTCATTTATGAGCTCGTTTATTTATGTTCATGAAAAAACTCGTTTATCTAGTTTTTTTAACATTTTAAATATTGGTGATGGTAGTGACTAAATTGAATACATGATAAAAATTGAATTTAAAATAATGAATTTTAAAGAGTTTAAGTACTAATTGTGTAATTTTATCATTTTTTCTTTAGCTTGAAAGGGAAAAACTAAGAATTGAACATATAAAGGAAACGATAAACGAACATTAAACGAACATTAAACGAACATGTAACGCTAAATGAACACGTTCGTAAACATATAAACGAATACGTTCGTAAATAATAAATAAACGAGCACGAACACTATACTAAAATTTAAACTAACACAAACCGAATATAAGGAACTTAGAAAATAATCAAACGAACACGAACATAATTTTGTTCATTCAAACTCAGTTCAATTACACCAATAACATCAATATTTAATGAAAAGTTTTTCTAATGATATCTTAACAATACACATTACAACATATTTGATGTTTCTAATAGATTTTTTTAATAATATAAGATAATTATAAAATAATATATATTTAAACATAAAATAAGATATCATAAAAGAGAAGACATGTCGTAACCGCCTTTCGGGTGGGCCTCGGATTTGGGCTTCGACTTGAATGGAATGGTTAGAGTCGCCACCGATCATTTATTTTAAGAACAAAATGAGTTGATCGGATACCTTGGTTTCTTACCTGATCTGCATCTTACCAAAGATATGTCGGATTCGAGAGTCGGTTGCAGTCAAGGAATGATTAGCACCTTGAACTGCCCTTTCGGTACTAATTAATTTCCAATTGTCTTTAATTAAGAAAATTGCAAGTTAAATTAAAAGGTAAAATTTTGATCCAAATTACTTACCTCCGATCGATTTGAACGAAAACCCTTTAAAAGTTAAAAATGTTAGATTTATAACGTAATATGCTGAATAAATCAAAATAAATAAATGCACATTAAATAAGGATACTTCAAACATAAGGAAAAAGACAAATAGACACATAAAAAATGAAGAAAACATACCTTAAAATGTAGCTAAGTTGAAAAGAGAGAACATAATAAAATGATAAATTAAAATTAAAAAAACAAAATTAACATGAAAGTGAAGCAAAATAAAATATAAAACCTTGAATGAGGGTAAAAATAAAAAAAAACACTTAAAAAAGACTAAATAAGCAAATTAACTAAACAAAAATAAAATAAAATAAAATAAAATAAAAAAGAGAAATAAAGATAAAGATAAAATGAAACAATAGATAAATAAATAAAATCAAACAAGTAAAATGAAAAAACAAAATAGAATGAAAAAATAAAAATAAGGAAGAAAATAGAACTTTGAAAAAACAGAAATAAAATAAATAAAGAAAATATATATTATAATATTTAATAAAATAAAAAGAAAAGAAAAAATAATAAAAATATAATATATATATATATATATATTAATAATAGTAAATGACTAAATTAAAAGAAAATCAAAATAATGGTATAATTTGGAAAGAAATCGAAGCTAAAATGGGAATTTAGAGGGCAAAATGGAAGTTTTAAAAACAGCGAGGGACCAAAATGGGGATTTCCCCCTTTTTATCGAAAACACGCAGACCCTTTGGCATGGGTCGGGTCCACCTGCGGGTCAAAACCGGGTTGCATAAATACCAACATTTCACAAGCATCGTTCATTTTTTCATTTCTCCTCAAAACATATCAAAATTCCCCCCAACCCAAAAACCAGTCGGCCACCGTCTCGCCGGCCGCCGTTCATCGATGGTGGCCACACAAAAAATACACCATTCGAAAGATCTCCCTCCCCCATCTCAAATATTCGATTTATTTTTGCAAAACGGCCTCGGGGAGGACTAGATCTGAGATTAAAAGTCTCGGTCGCCCTCCCTCCGATCATCGGCCAACCACCCTTTTTGGGTTTTTTCGGGTCTAAAAGAAAAGCGAGATAGCGTATGCATGAAAAAAACCAACCGAACAAAGGTAAAAATAATACCCTTTTTTTAAGTCCTTGCTTTCGAAAGTTTACAATCCTTGTTTTGTATTTTCCGTGTGATTTCTTCGTATTTTTCTCGGATATTCATGTGTTTTCGTGTGTAATTTTTAGTGTGAATTTACATCAATTTATAGCCTAGGAAAAAAACTATTTTTATCTCGGTAGACTCCTAATGGGACTAAACTTGTGTTTGTTGTTGCTTGTTTTGGTGTCCCACGAAATCACGTTGTTGTGTCCGAGAAAATCGGCCGAGGGAGGCGTGAGGTGTGAGGAGTTTTAAAAAAGGGATGCGGATGCGGCGTTGATGAGAAACTAGGGTTCTAGAAACCCTAACCTACCAGTTCGGGTCGAGCTCTACTTGATCCGGGTCGCGGATCGGTTATGGTTGCTCCAGTCAGGTCGCGTCTGGATTGTTGGGTTTATGTTTTATTATTGGATCTGTAAATGAATGAGAAAAAAAACAAGTTAACATTTATATGTAATATAGTTAAAGTATATAACATAGTATATATATATTATACATTTACTATATACCATAAAACACATTAACTATACATCATAAAAATAAATAAATAAAAATCAGACGAAAATACGTATCGACAAGACCAATGTCCAACTCTTTCTCGCCCTCTTTTATAGGTACCCTGCCTCATAAATCTTCATATCAATAGTTTTGAACATTATTTATTTGTAATTAGCTCAAATCTTCCTTTCTCTTATATTTGGATTGGAGTTATTAAGGAAAAATACTTTTTCCTTTTCAAATATTTTTTATACGAGAAAAGTGAAGAAAATTAAGTATTTATTTCTTTCTCTTTAAAAGTTAAAAGTAATATTAATAGTCTAATCAATTGTACAATTAATTATCTAATTATACATCGATTGTTTGAGATAGAATTGAAATGATCATAAGTACGAGGACCAATCTGAAATGAAAATCATACTTTGAAGGTAAAATTGAATTTTTCAAAGATTTGAGGATTACTTTAGAATAAATCATAATTTACAGACGAAATTAAAACAGTTAAAAGTTAAAAGATTAATTTAAAATAAGAATGATAATTTGAGAAAGTATAATATAATTAATTGGAGAAACTATTTATTTGTATAAAAGTATGATAGGAAAACTACATATTAAAGCCCTTCATTTTCTTCATGGTAATCCAAAGGAGACAGGTTAAATTTTTGAGAGCTGATGAAAGGATTGACGAGGAGAGAGGGAGAAGGAGGGAAATTCGGCATAAACAAAGAGGCACGTGGCACAAACGTGTCATAAACTGTGCCCAGGAGTGGGACCGACACCTCCCCTCCATTGCATGTATTAAGGTGACCACCATTGAAGCAGTTACAGTCCTCACCACTTCCCCTTCTTCTTCTTCTTCTTCAACAGATTCCCTTCTTTTGGTTCTTCCCAACACTAAAAAGTACCCAAAAACAAAAGATTGAATTTTCCCCAGGCTTCTCCTATGCCAGCAGGTCGCATTCAGGTATAATTTCTTTACATTTTCTTTTAATTTCTACATGCATTACTACTTCCTTTATTTCTCATATCTCTGATTCATGATTTTCTTGTTGCATTCCCATTTTCCTTTTTCTTTCTCCTTGGATAGTCGATCTAAGCTCTTGCATGTAGATGTTTGGTTTTCTCAAAGCCACAAAAGCTTAATCTTATGCTGCCATTCTCTTCATTTGGTATATCCAAATGCATGCATGATATAATTATCTTTAGAATTTTGAAATGCTCTTAGTTCTTGACCCAGAGCTTAACTTGTTTTATACACTTTTAAAAAGTGACCCTCAAAGGGTCAGATTTGATATTCAATTTATATGTGTTGTTTTCCCCAGGCTTATGTTTTATGATCAATTTGTTTTGCAGTAATTGTTGTACCTTGAATATAATTATTTTGGTAATTATATTTATATTTTCAGTTTTGGGGAAGTAAAAACGTTGCTACTCAAGCACATGCAAATTAAATTAAATTAGAAAAAGTTTTAGTGACTAAATTACTGCTGATAGTTACTGAATTTATAAATTTCATGTCACTTTTCTGGTCTCTTGAACTCTTATTGTTACTTATCTGCATTTTTGTTTTAAAGCGTGTTAACTATATGATGAATTCAACTGCTGCTATGAACCATGTGTAATATCTGTGTTTTTCTTATTGCAGGAACTTGTTCGAGGTTTTTCTTTCTTTTTGTTTTAGTTTGATCATAAAGGTAGTGCTTGAACCATATAAAACGAGATTGTTGGTGGTCAAATAATGGCACTTTTTGAATCAGAAAGTGTTGCCTACGGTGGTATCAAGACAGCATTGCCGGAACAAGCACCGCAGTCGCTGCAGCAGCAGCGCGATGAGTTAACACAGGATCAATCGGTTTCTTCCTCAAACAAACAGGGTTCGATTTTCTCGCTTACACTCGACGAGATCCAACTAAAGAGTGGGAAGGCTTTCGGGTCCATGAACATGGATGAATTCCTTGCCAACTTGTGGAATGTAGATGAAAACCAAGCCCCACCACAGGTTGACCGAAACGATCCTTGCAATGACATAGGCAATGGAGGCCAACCGACATTAGAACGGCAAGGCTCTTTTTCAATCCCTACCCCGCTTTGCAAGAAAACAGTGGACGAGGTTTGGTTCGAGATTCAGAAAGACCTACCACCACAGGGGAAAGCTAATGTCTCCGATCACGAACCTCAGCGCCAACAAACACTCGGAGAGATGACTTTGGAGGATTTTCTCGTCAAAGCCGGAGTTGTTCAAGAATCATCATCGGCTTCTTCCCAACAAAAGAAGGTGACACCTATAGGTCCTATACAGACCAATGGTGCAGGTTTAGATGCAAACTATGGACTGGGGCACAGGATCGGATCTTCTCAACCAAAAATACTGACATCTATTCAAAATAACAATGGAAACATAGATGCAAACTTTGGAATGGGACATGTGATGGGGCTAGGATTCCCAGGCCACCAAATTGTTGCCAGCAACATGGCAGCACCAGGCAATGGTTATGCGACCACATACCCGATTTTCACGCAGAGTAAAGCTATTATGGGTGAATCTTCTAATGTAGCTGAAAATGGTAACGGCGCCAACCGTATGTTAGAGCCTGTCATGATACAGAACAATAAGAGGATCATAGATGGTCCACCGGAGGTGGTAGTGGAAAGGCGACAACGCCGAATGATTAAGAATCGAGAATCCGCAGCAAGATCTCGAGCAAGGAAACAGGTGCATACTTAAGTATTTCCGGTTGCCGTGGTTTGCCTGTTCACTATCCATTAAATTTGGCCTCTACTTTCTTGAATTGCAGGCGTATACAGTGGAGCTGGAGTTAGAGTTTAGTCAACTCAAACAGGAGAATGAAAAGCTTAAGCAGCTTGTGGTAAACAAATACTTCCGAAAAAAGCTGAAATTACTCCATTTTTATCAAAAATGGCCTAAAGTGTTTCTGGGTTTTTAACTTTGTGCAGGAGGAAAACGAGCAAAGGCGAAAGCAAGAGGTGAGTTGCTGCTGCCAGTGATTTAAATAGTGGTCCACTATCAGAATAGTGCTAACATTGTCCGAAACTGTTATAATGACTGCAACAACATCCGTTATGTTTTTAATCATGATATAGGCAACCCATGCATTTGGCATACTTATTTTCTATGAAAATCATCATAAATTCAATGTCTTTCTTGTTTTCATATGCGATGAAGAACAGGTTCTGAAAAGAAAGCAGTCAAAATTACCAGCACAAAGGAAGGTTGCTGCAGATAAGATGAGGACATTAAGGAGGGCAGTGAGCTTGGGATGGTGAAAGTGATGAGAAAATCGAGAAATAGAGAATTACAGTATGCTTAGCTTAGTTTAGTTTAGATTACAAATGTAAGTATATCTAAATAACTAGGAATATCTCCAAATTAAAACCCATATTTTAGTTTTTTTTCTCTTTGAAGGGATCATAAGAATATACTAGTGTGTGTAATAATAAGCACTTAAATTAATTATGGTAAAAGAATAATAAGTAGCAGTATTCAATGTTTATTTAAAATCTTACATGCAAAAAAATAACAGCAAAATCAAATAATTGAAATTTATTTAAAATGAGATCTCAAATTAAAATTTAAAATTAATAAACCCTTTTTTAATTTTGATTTGTCAATCGAAATTATTTTTTCAAACGAGAAAGAAAAAAAATTAAGGTTCAAATTGTAAATTTTATAAACTTAGAAAGGTGCAAGTGTATTTTTCTCAATTATTTGGTAACCGACGACGACGTATTAAACTATTTAGTATTCGCCTAAAAGAAATTTTATGTTTTGTATATACACATCAGTATTACATAATAATCATTCCCGCTTTCTTTCTTTCTTTTTCCTTTCGCCCTAAAATTTTCCCTGATTTTAATCTTCGATTCACTGCGTTGATTCTCAGGTAATTGGATCTTTAGACGCTCTAATTTCATCTTATTTTCCCTTAATTTCATCTCAATTTCAATAGTTCTTTCTTCCAGGTCCTCTCTCTCGTGTTAGGGTTGTCATGTTAGTTTCTAAAATTTCCAATTTCTATTTCCTTTTATTTGTTAAATCTCACTTTGCCTAGTTGGAACTTGGAGAAAGTGAAGGAAGAAAACTCAATTGATACCTAGTCAATTACCCTATATTTAATAATTTAGAAAATTTGAGTTTAATAATTTAGAAAATTTGAGTTCGAGACTATTTAATTTAGAAATTATTATGGATGTAAATTTTAAAGAGGATATTCATTTATTAAGGTAAAAAATATTCACCTCTTAGCATGAATGCGGAAGATCAATTATTGTTCTAATAAACGAACAATGCCTCGGGAATTGAGTAATTATGATGCAGTTTTGAAAATGATGTTAACTTACTTCGGGAATTATCAGTAATCACTCCCTAAGCATGATTGCGAGAGATACACTATTGATTCGCTAATAAGTAAACATTGACTTATATTTAAAATCGGGTGCAATGTATCAACCAGTTAAAACCTAATAATACTAGGTGAGTTTATTAAGGCTCTCCTAACCTAAAGTGTCAAATTATGAAAATTAGAGAACTTAGAGGACTAAACCTAAAAATGAAGTCTCTAATATTAATCCTAAATTTTTAGCCAATTATTGAATTATTCCTAAATTAAAGGATTAAAGTGAAAATTTCTAAGATGGAGGCTCTAGTTGTTAACCTAGTTAATTATGTCAATTGGATAATCTAATTAAAAGTTTAGGAACTAGAATGTGGAAAGTCTAAAGTTAAGGAATTAAATCTAGAGCTCAAGGCTCTAATTATTAACCCGATTCATTATGTTAATCGAAAAAATCAATTTGAGTCCTTGGGGTAAAGACCAAATTAAAATTTTCCTAATCTTAAAGGACTAAAATGAGAAATCTAAATCTAATGTTTAAATCTAAAATCTAAATGCAATTATGGACTAACAGGACTTAAACTAAAAGACTAACCTTAAAATCTAATAAAATAAAGGAAGAAACAAATAATCTCAAAAAGAAAAAAAGTTAGAAACAATAACAATTAAATAAATAAAAATTAATAAATATGTTTTCACTTAAAAGGTTGGAACTAATAATACAAATAAAATAATTAATCATTACAAAACAAATGCATTTAACTAAATTAATATTGAGGTTAATTAAGAAAATAATTAATCGGATACTGAAAATATTCGAAGTAGCTGCTGGACTAAAGCTTAATAAGGAAAAAACTAAGTTATTCGGTATTAACGTGGAAGAGAGTAGAGTAAGGAGTTGGGTTGATTCGATAAATTGGGGTTGGGCTGAGCTTCTGTCAACGTATCTGGGTCTACCTTTAGGGAATCGGATGAATTCAAAATCTATTTGGCAGCCCATTATGGACAAAGTAAGAAATCGGCTTCAGAGTTGAAAAGGCAAATTGTTATCTTTTGGTGGTAGGTTAACTCTAATTAAGTCTGTTTTAGTTAATTTGCTTGTGTTTTACATGTCTATTTTCTCAATTCCAAAGGCTATAGCTGAGACGTTAAATAGATGCATAGCGAATTTTGTTTGGAATTCATCAACTGATATGAGGATTCACTGGATTAGTCGGGACAGAATTTATAGGCCGAAAACACACAGTGGTTTGGGAATTTTTTATGTCAAAATTAGGAACCGTGCATTACTTAATAAATGGATTTGGAGGTTTAGTGTGGAAAATGACAGTTTATGGCGGAAGATTGTTGTAGCAAAATATAATTATGATCATGATTCAATCATTCCAAAAGCTGTAAATAACAACAAATCCTCTTGGATATGGCGTAATATTGTTAATCAAGCAGGGTCTAGTGAATCGGGATTTTGTTCTGAATTGAGGTGTGTTATGGGTAACGGAAATAGGATTGAATTTTGGACAGATTATTGGACTGAAAAGGTTTCACTGAAAAATGCTTTTCCGAGAATTTTCAGTTTATCAAGGAAAAAATGCGGAAAGATCAAAGATTTTGGGTGTTGGGTTCATGGAGTTTGGGAATGGCGGTTTGAGATGGGAAGAGCTTTCTTTCAATGGGAAAAGCCAATTTGGAATGAATTCATGAATGTTTTAAACATAACAGAAAATTCTGAACAATGTATCGACAAATTAGTGTGGTCTGGAGCTCGGGATGGTTGTTATAATCCGAAATCATTTTGTATTAAAGAGGCAACCGATGGCGTGATTGAATATCCATGTTGGAGATTGGTGTGGTTTAAATTTGCTCCACCAAAGGTATCTTTCATGTGGAAAGCAGTTCATCAGAGACAGCCGGTTATGGTAGAATTGGCAAAGAGAGGGATCAATTGTAATGACCAGACTTGCTGTCTGTTTTGTAAAAGTGTGCCGGAAGATATTAATCATGTTCTATTTCACCGTTTTACAATTTGGGAGGTTTGGCATTGTTGGTGTAGAGTGTGGAAAGTAAATATGGTGCTCCCAGAGAATGTTAAACAATTATTAGAGACATGGTTTTCTCAAAGAAAAGTAGGAGATTACGAGCTTTATGGCAAATTGGTTTTCTCAAATTTTCCGATGTAAGGAATCGCAAAAAGGTTCCAATAAAATAGGAAAATGGCCAAACGCTTATGGTACTCCTTTTCCGAGATTAAGATAAATATCGTTAGGAAGAGATGTATTTTGACAGAGGCAACTTTTTTGACTTCACCCTCTCGAACGTGAATTGGATTGTCCTGGGGGTATATACGAGAGAACAACATATCCATTTGAATTTTCTATGGTTGAAACGCGATATGAATCATATAATGGTGTGAATGAGCGGCTTTGTTGGCCAGATGATAAGCATAGGCATTATGGGGTTATTTTCCTTTTCTCGTCTAGCTGGTTTGTTACTACCAGTGCTTCTTTAAGGTTCTGTTGGGATATGCTTCTTTTTGGGTGTTGCCTTGGTGTTTCACCGTTTACTTTGATCTGTCATGGGCGTTGGAGTTCTGCAGTTTGTGTTTGCGTGCAGTCGATGCAGCTGTTTGGCTAGTTATGAGTCTAATGTTTTGAGTGGTGCTTATCGCAGGATCGAATGTTGCAGCCGTTGGTGGAGATAGAAGCAGCTCAGCCGTTTTTGTTTTGGTGCTGCTAAGTGATGCCGCTCCTGTGGTGTCGGAATGGTTTGTCGTTTATGCTTTCTGTTCTATGTCGTTTGCTATGTATTTTGGGGAGCTGGGCGGTGTGTGTTTTGTTGCCCCTGTAGTTGGGTGTTTCGAAAGAGGAAGCAGGGTCTGTGCTGCTATTTTTTTCCATTGTTTTGGACAGATTGTAATTACATCGTTTTTTGCATATTGCATGCGGTTAACAACTTGTGGTGTGTATTTTCTGATACGAGCTTGGACACTCTTTTTCCTCCATTTAGGTTTAGGGAGGTTTTTTTAATGAGGTTCGTGTTTGTGTCCGATTTTGTATTAGACTCGTCTATTAAATACAAAATCAAACTCTTTCAAAAAAAATTAATCTAGGGACTAAATTAAAATTTATAGAAATGTTCAAGGACTAAATCTAAACTAATTATAATAATTAAATTAGTGGCTAAATTGAAACAAATGCAAAATTAAACATGCAATATTATAATTAAATCAGTGAGTTGAGTGTAAAAATACGGCAAAAGTAGAGAGATTAGAGCACAATTGTTAATTTTTGAAACTAAAATGTACAAACAATTAAAAAATGAGAAAGCTGCAAAATCAGGACGTAAAATAAAAATAAAAATTGAAACAGTCACTGCAGGTGACTAAGATGTAAAAACGAGGGAGACTTGGGAGGACCGAAAGCTAATTTTTCCCTAAAGTTCCAATGGCTAAAATATAATTATGCCAAAAGTCCCAATATATATTTATATATCTAATTTTGTATTAGCCTAACCCTAATCCTATTTTAAAATTTTCGACCGCCTCCCTCTTTATTCCTTTTCTCCCAAATCTCTCCTCCCCTCAACCGCCCGAGCAGCCGTAAAACTCCAAGCTTCCATCGCCGCCGGCCACCATTTAAGTTCTTCAACACGTGGGCTACTGTTGGGTATCTTCCAATGTTGGGCTTCCCATTTTGGGGTTTAAAATTATACAGGCTGCTGTATAACGGGTGACAGGTTATGGTGGTTTGGATTTGGGCCACCATAGGAACGTTTACAAAATTAAACGTCACTTGCCCTCGATCTGAATTACTAGACAAAATTAGTGGACAACAACTACATATAAAAGAGTAAAAACATATATAAAATAAAATGTGCATCAATTTAAGATATAATTAATTTACTTTTAAATATTTATCCCTAATATCTATTTACATG